CAGCCGGCTGTTTATCTGCTCTGAGACAAAGCAACCATTACTGTGGAATGCTGTGTGAGAGAGAGAAGGGCGGGGGGGAGGGGAGGTCTGCTGCTGTCTGAATTTACAAGACAGCATGCTGACATTCTCTCAGCCCCCCAAAAACCCACTCTCTCTCTCTCCCCCCACATACACACAACACACTCCCTGTCACACCCCATCCCACCCCTATTTGAAAAGCACATTGCAGCCACTTGCATGCTGGGATAGCTACCACAATGCACAGCTCGCTCCGGCCATTGCAAGAGCTGCTAATGTGGCCATGCCAGCGCGCTGTCAGCTGTCAGAGTGAACACACTGCAGCGCTTTCCCTATTGCGCTCTCCAAGGGCTGGTTTAACTCAAAGTGCTCTACATCTGCACGTGTAGCCATGCTCCTAGCTGCACTGGCAAAAGTCCCTTTTGAAACCAGGGCAGTGAATTCTCACTAGGAGGCTGCAGGTTCATTGTTTCAGTGCTGCTGGTGCAAAAACAAGTGTCTAGACAAGCCCACAGCTGTTCCATATAGGTTCTAATGGTGATGATGTTGCAGCAGGAAGTGCAAAGAGGCTGAGCTAACTCTGGGTTGGATACATTTTGCTGCTGGAGAATCTGCATGCATCTTATATCGGTTGCACGGCCCCATCATGGTGAGTACTTTTTAATGGACTGATCCAGCAGCAGAAATACAGATTCCCTCAAGTCAGCTGTGCAGAAAGGCCACAATCCCTGATGTGAAATCAGTTGTTCTGCGTCTCTCTCTTCAAGGACTGTGTGCATGAGAGATCTGTGATAAATCACCACGCATGCTGTACGCTTTCCACTGCTGTAAGCGATCTTCCTGGCTCTCCACTACTTGGAGGAAGCAGGCAGCCAAGGCCTGGCTTATGACAGCGTCATTTGACAATTGCCATTAAAAGCTTTGTCTTCATTACAAAAGAGACTCTCGGCTGGCAACCGATGCAGCTGAACTTGGGCTGGACACAGCTTAGCTGCAAGTGTAGCCAAGGGCAAACGGTGCTCAGCACCGTCTGAAAACATGGCTAACAGCTGCTTGCAGAGATGCCGGCATGAGGCCATCCCAGTCACTACTGCCTAAGTCAGAGGACTCTGCACATGAGACCCTGCAAGCAAACCGCAAACCAACTGGAGTCATTGGTTTCAGTGGTACATAACCTATCAGCAGTTAATGCTTGAGGGACATCTGACCTGGTAACGTGCCCCCTTATTGGCCAAGCTGCTAACCTCTGCAGTCCTTGTGCTTACTGCTCAGGGATGGTGACCCTGATGTTACATCCGCTCTGCCTTCAGCAAGGTGCATCTTTGTACATTACAGAAACAAAGGAGCAGGGAGATCACAAGATGAGCAGAGCAAAGATTTCTGCCCAGGAAGGCAGGCTTGCTGCTTGTGGAATCCACGCAAGGGCTGGAACGCAGCAACACGTACCAGGGGCGTCAGTGCACTCGGAGCAACAACAGACGTTGGGAGGTCAAATACAGAGAGGAGGGAATTTTTATTATTATTGGATTGGATTCGGTGTCACCCTAGGGACTTGCTTCCCACGCACGCTACAGGAACTGACACCAGGCCCAACATACTTATTCCAAGGCTAAGGTCTAGTTGCCCTTTAGGGAAATCCAGCTCCCTTTATTCTCATTGGTACCTCGTTTGGGGTGAGGTGTGGGGAATGGATTAGACAGGCCCCACCGTATGAGCGACAGTACGGTGGGGGACAGGACCACTGCTCTGCGCCAAGATGGCGCAGCCACAGTCTGTATGTCCACCCTCTGGCAGAAGCTAGCCAGGCTGCTACGTGCTGTTCCTTCCGTCCTTGTGCTCCCCGGGGAAGCAGATCTGCTGCCGTCAAGGCGACATACTTCCTGCAGCTGTCTGTGATCTCTCCCCCTATGGGTTCTTGCTCAGCTACTCTGTGCACCTGACCCCTTCTCATGCC